GAGAATACAGCGTAGAAGAAGGCGTTGGGTGTTTTATTTGCACCAATGAGACATGGCAGGCACAAAATAATGCATGTTGTTTCTTCACTGGTAACAGGCCACCAATGGCGTATCTCAATAAACAATTACAGCTTCTGACTGTTGTCTCTGAGCAGATGATCCGTCGCGAACTGCACTGTCGTTCTTCCTAATTATCATGCAATATTTTGTGAAAGCAAACAATCGCTTGTTGAACAAGGTTAATTTTGACACCTTGAAAGTCTTCTATTAGCAATTTACATCTGGTGCGCAAAATTCAACAATCATCCAAAAGAATTATGAAGCTCACAATGGTGAACTTCGTCTCGAATGCGCTAGAATTGTCCAAGGCCTTAGGCATACAGTCCAGTGTTAGTCTGAAATGTGATCCACGTAATTTGGACTCCAAAATAACTTAAGTCGAGCTACGAACATGCATGTCAGGTCATTAGGGTCCACCTGATCATTTATAAAAAGTATGTTCCAAAGGTGGGGCTCCCTGTAACATTGATTGAGGGCCAATTGGCGTACATCGTATCTAGAAGTCGTGCCCACGAATGCCAGATATGATCAGCTTGACGATTTTTTCTTCTTGGCCTTGAACGTCGCATGGCCAATGGTGTGACAGGAGTTGAGTGATGCTGCTATGTGAGATACATGCCTGAATGATCTTGAAATGGCATGCGCATCTTCGCGGACATGTAGCTCAGAAACTGGAGGGATTTAGGCCTTAAGAATTACAAGGCTGTGAACTTCCCCGAGTGATCTTCAAAATGACTTTTTCGTTTCAAAACCCTATGCAAATGTGGGACACTTCCTTTGACACCGGTTGGATACCGCTCGCTTGGGTGGAAGGTCACCCTGATCCCTGAGATATAACACCAAGAGAGCTAAGGACACTAAATCCACAATATGGCACGGCCTGTGAATGAACTAATTCATATTAAAGGTTGAAAACCCCAGGTCATGACCTCCTGGTCAAATAACACAAAACAAGGTCAAATTCCAGGCTGGTGTCCAAAATTCCCAATACTTCCACATGAAAACGCCTGGAGCCTGGGGATCTGTTCTAAGAAAAAGTTTACAAGCGTTTTTGGGTGATTGTCCTTGTTTCATCCAAAGAAGGTCATGGTTTTCAAAAATCTAGGAAAACGTTAGTTTTGAATCTCAACATGCGTCAATAACTACGCTTGGTGACATGTTGCTAAAAAAGACGTTTGATATTGGTGATTTATGTTAAATGACCTACTAAGACCTTTATGAGGCCCTTGGAAGATGCTGTTGCCGTCCCTGCTTTCGAGAAATCCGCAATAAACATAAGCAGGTTAAAAAGCAGGCTTGTTTTTACTTCGGTTCAACCTTCATACACGGCCGAAGGTCAGTAGAATTCATCGGTACCAAAACTTAAATTGCCGGATTGTTGAAGAAACTATGTCAGGGATAGTTTCTTTAAGGAATGTTAGATGTCGTCTAACACCCCTTGGCCGCATCATATTAACAATTATCTAGATCTTTTTTGAATGCATATTATATATCAATATATATATATATATATATATATATATCTATAAAAAAGGAATTTGTCCTAGTTGACAGCCGCGGGCTGACTGACTTACCATACACCAGAGTCTTTAGGAGGTACATATTGTCTATTATACGAAAAGGCCCGCTATTCAATTGCTGACAGCTGCGGAAATTTTGCCGTGGCCCCCCTACGCTGTTCGGAAGTTGTTCTGAGAAACGTTGCGGGGTGGAGGAGCTGACTTACGCCCGCGCGCGTGTTAAGCCTGGATTTTGAAACTCGCATGGATTTCGGTGGCGAAATTCACAACGCATAATGTCGTTGCCGACTGTTAATCTCTTAGCCCATCGCTTTGTGGGAAGTTTAAAGCGTTAAAGAGGGCTTTTGCGTTCTAGAGTCGACATTTTGACTTAATTGAACCAGTCTTGCCCGCACCGTCCCATTAGACAGGGCAATTTGCAGGTATTTTTGCCGGGAACTCATTTTGCGGGGCAGAGAAATATGAATGTTTGTGTTGTAAATGACACTTCAATTTATCATGATTCACATATTGCTGCTTCAGTGATGAAATGTGCCGCTGCTGATGTTCAACGCTACTTTCAGCTTAGAAAAGAAAGTTTTCGAAAAACAACCTGTGAGCATTCATAAGCCAAAACTCGACTGTTTTACGCTAGCCAGTACGTTCTTGCAAACAAAAATTGGACCTGGGTCATTTTAGGTCAACGACCTATTCTGGCCTCCAAGAGATCCATGAAAGACGCATAATGCGATTCCTGCTATCAATGCATTCGAAATGAGCACCAGAAACTATCCCATACAGCAAGCCTTTGAGTAATGAAACAGGCTGGTTTTGAATTTGATCTGATCTTTATACCTGACCTTAGGTCAATTAATTTGCACATTTAATTGTTGTGTCGCCTGAGGAAGTATCTCAGAGATGCATGGCTTCGTCTAATATTCCGCAGTTGCATCAGACTGAACGATTCCTTAGAAATTGACTTTGCTAAAACCATGGCCTGACTTTGACCTGCATAGATCAGCGACCCTGCAGGGAACATTTGAATTTTTGATGGCAGATCGATCTGCTATTCAGTTGTCTACAGCTATGCAAAATTTGGCGCGGCCTCGCCGCGCCGTTCGGAAACCATTCTGGATAAAAACTTTGGGAGGGGGTCAATTTAACCCCCCACCCGAGCGCGTGTAAATTGAAATTTTTAACGTTTGATTCAACTGAAGCGAAACATTTAAAAGCAAATTGATCACCTCCTGGTAGAGTTGGAGGCACCACTGCCTCTTTTAAAGAGAGGCTGCCATCTATTTGTACTTTTCACTTATAATTCGATCAGATGTGTTCGATTTGATGGGTAATACCAGATTTCTCGAAATCCTTATCAGTAGCTCAGAATATCGCTTTGATGTAGCCACTCTCTGGGGAGAATTTCCCATTGGACTCTGCTCATCACTTCGCAAGTTATACTTCTCGCTTGCTTTGCTTTGTTCAAAGTGCGTGTTCTGTAATGTTAGCAATGCACTTATTCGCCGAAAAGTTTGTGCAATAAATGCTACGAAAGTTGCAGCACAGTTATGGAAAAAATCTACAAACGTGAGGCCATTTTCACGTGAATAAAATGCAACCTTATGGTATGGCTTTGATTTCTCCCCTATATGGGATTTAGCAGTTCTCGTTTCGAAGTGCACATTGACCTTAGGAATCAAACGTGTCACATTGTTCACAGTGGCGCACTGGCTCAAACATCGACCGATGCCAACCAATGCGTTTCTCGATAAATGACCTTCACCGCTCGCTGTGGGAATTATAAACGTTAATTTGTGCTGATGTTTAGTGCCAGTAGATGCACAACTTTTAGGCATGCAGGCCAGCAATGTGCACATTAAAACAACCCAAAAGTTGAACCTCTAGTCTATAAAAGTTGACGACGGCCCTCAGCAGACTTTGCCGTCATCAGTTCTTGTGAACTTCGGCTGTACTCTGGGTCACTGATGAAAGAGAGCAGTGCCGTGACAAAACGTTGAAAGCGTAATTTAGACCCTAAAATAATTAAAACAAATCTGCCCATTATATCTTGATGATGCTACAGCGACACTACTCAGTGCTATTAATAGACTAACTGGTCCCGAGGTTTCACCAGAGCATGATTTGAAATATGCCCCAAAATGCGGGACATCTCTCTTAAAACTATCATCCAAATCAAGGACCAGTTCATCCTACGTTTTCATTTCAGACCTTGTACGTCAAAACCGATTGCAAAGGCTTCGATATTTCCGGGAAGGAAAGCGGATCGCCGGGCAGAGAATTGAGGGGAAATTCGGAGAACGGAAATATGATTAAAATCAGAAACATGCCTGAACAGGAGCCTCAGCACGTGATACACACAAAGACGCCAAGCATATGCACACGTTACCAAACCTTACGTCTGGACGAGAGGGTCCCCCGATGGCAGCTGCACTTGTGGCGACCTGCCCGTCACATTTGTATCGCCCGCCCTCCATCACCCGTCGCCCTCGTCAGTCCTCCCGCTGCTGCATCCTCTGCCTGAAGAGCGGGATGCGCCGCTGCTGGCCGCCACTGGGATGGGCGGCGCACGCGGGGCGCCGGACGGCGGATTGATTGTTGGGCGGGCCGCGCGGCACCAGACGGCGTGGCGCCGCCTCAGTGCCACAGGTGCCGCCGCCTGCGACGCGTCACACGCACGGCGGCGCCCAGGTCGTCGCCCGAGGCTCTCCGGAAGGCGCGGTCCCGCGGCGCCGACAGAAGACGCGCGTCGGCAGGCCGGCTGGGTCCGCGGACCGGGCGGCGCGCCTGTCACCGTGTCCGGTGCGGCGTGGCGTGCGGGCCCCGCCTGCTGGGCCGGCTCTGTCGGCCCCGGTCGGTGTCGGCTCGAAGGGCCGCGGCGGGAAGCGGTGCGGCGCGGCGCCGCCATGTGGACTGGGGCGACCTGGCTTCGGCTGCTGATGTACTTGGTGTGTGGCGATTCGACACAAGGTGCTCACTTCAGGGAACGTCGTACCGCTTCGTCTCCCACGCATCCAACAGGTAGGGGTGGTCAGTATGACATCAGCATGGCGGCTTCCAAGAAAAGAGGACATTATGCGATGAGGACTCCACCTGGTGATGGTAACTATCATGCTCCAAGCGTGGTAGTCCGCAGGTTTTGGCGCGTTCCGGTGACGAAAAGCGGGGATCCCGCGCCAACAATAAGTACGAAAGAAGAACACCCGGATGCGGCAATCAATCGTAGCCTCGCACGTCACATACCACCGCTATTGGTCGTTCGTCGTGAATACGACGTGTGAAACATGGCCACTAAGATTCCTCCAACAGTCAGCGAATGGCATGCCATTTATATCAGCTCACGACTTTTGTGATACAGTTTACGTGGTAGAAAGTGTCTTTTGATTAGCATGCTCCGTCACGATTTCTCAAGTCATAAACTTGCACCAATTATATTTTTCCCCCGTTTGAATCATTCGTCATTTATCAATTCGCAGCATTTCCGTTATCAACTTCTCTCTCCTGAACTTAAAGCCAACATGTACAGCTAGATACAGATACACACAATATACACCATCTGGTCAATGCCATACTTACATTCAGTCTGAATTCAGACATGTGCGTGGGTTCTAGAAACGGGTCCCTAGGTTTGGTTGTTAAGTGATGGGTTCCAGATTGTCTAAGAGAGGGAGAGACAGAAAGGGAGGTGAAAAGAATTGGACGCAGGAAGGAAAAAAATGCACGATATATATATATATGTATATATATATATACACACATATATATATATATATATATATGTATATGCATGTATATATACAATTATATGTATATATATATATATATGTATATGCATGTATGTATACAAATATATATATATATATATATATATATATATATATATATATATATATGTATGTATATGCACGTATATATACAATTATGCACATATATATATATAATATCTCTCTCTCTCTCAGTCATCCGTCCTCTCCTTTCTCTCTCTCATCTCTCTCTCTCTCTCTCTCTCCTCTCTGCATCCGTCCTCGTCTCGTCCTTGCGTCTCTCTCCTCTCTCTCTCTCTTCTCTTACTGTCGGTCACACAAGCGTTTGCCATACGCGGCTTTCGTAAGCTTCCTCCGTCTTCTGTGCATTGGGCTTGTCATTTTCTTGCAGTCATCGTTTAAGAAGAATCGGCCACGATAACAATGGCATTGCCGCGTATCATCAATTAGCAAACCTTTCGACCATGTGCTAGCTGCGATGCACTATGAAACCTTCACGTATCGTGCATCAGTGTTAAACAGTTATTATTCACTTGTTTAAACGTACCCGTGTGATGCACCCGGAATCAGTTCGGTATGAGCGCATATTGAAGCATATGTCCAGAGTGCCAGTAGCAAAATGCGCAGAAACTAGTGATGAACAACTGCTCTCATAGATAATTGTCTGACTTGATTCTACGTCAGCTAATATTTTGAATGAGGAAGCTGAAAGCATGCTTGATAAAAGCTATGCGATACCTAACACACATGAGCGTTAACGAGCGTGTTAATGGCCACGTATAGGAGCAACGTGCGCGTCCCTAAGCCACACCAACGTCTACAACAAACGTTGAAGCTGCATTCGTCATCGCTTACCACGTGGCTGCTGCTCATGCTTTAGACATCCCGCATGTCTTTCGTGTGCGTAGACACTCGTCTCATGATTGTTTGTCGCCTTTACATTGAAAACACGCACCAAACTCGAGATTACCAAAGCAGGAGATCGCGACAGAATTATGCTTCCACGTACTGATATGTGCCTCGTGATTCTCTGTCGCCTCCATATTATGATGTTCAAATTGTGCGGGCTTGAATCAAGCGATTTTCACCCACAAATTTCCGATGCTTTGAGCACGTTAACATATTTCGGTGGTTTCCATCGCCACCAATGACGTGAGCTGTTGTTTTACCGATATCAGCTTAACAAATGGTTGATGCCATTGACCGCTGGTATACGCACTATCATTCTTCCAAGTGATACATACTTTTGAACTCCGAGACGGTTACGGCAAAAAATGCCGAAGTGCTGCCTAGGTGAATGACGTTAAACCCTTCTGCATTATATTCCGTTTAAAATGTTCCGCGATGCTCGGCCCGAAAATCTCCCAATACTTCATTGGCTAATGCGTCTCGTAGATTTTCGTTCATCACCGCGTACCAAAATTGTTTTGCCCGGCTCAAAGCAATGCCTTCTGCATATCTGTGACACATCACCTGAGCGGCCCGTGACGGACATGACAGTGACGGTCCATGGCGGACATGACGGTGACGGTCCGTGATGGACATGACAGTGACGGTCCTTGATGGACATGGCTGCACAGTGCGCGTATCATCATCCTGTTTCAAGCATCCTGAACATGCAATGTCTTAGCCTGTCAGTAACGAGCAACCAACAGCTGTGCGATAATATCTCAGGTGTAATGCGTGATGCGGTCACTAAGTTATTTTGCATTTAGTATTGTTTATTTTTGCATCATATCAATAATGTAAGAAACTTGTTATTGTAGCAACTTGCAACAAGTTGATGACTTGCGGCACATTGGCTTTTAGTACTTGTACTCTCTGTTCCTGTATTAAGCGCTCTTATTACTTGTTCATTAAATAAGTGTCTTTACGTTGTTGGCCAATTCTTCGGCCTTGAAATCACAGCAATTCCGCCTGCTTTAACATACGTCCTGGTAACCGGTTGAATAACCCTCGTCCGGGTTGGGGTCAATTTGTCCCTGAGACATAACAAATGAACAGAGCTAGCGATGCAAAATTGATAAGGTGGGTTGACGTTTATGTAGACTCATTTGTGTCAAGTTTTGAGCCTCCTAGATCTTGACCTTCTCCTCAGATAAGGTTAAAACAATGTCAAGCTCCAGATTGGTATTCAAAGTGGAACCGGACCTCATCATGCAACCACCGTGACCTTAGATACCTGTTCTCAGGAAAATGTCACTGGTATTTATTTAAGGTCAATGACCTCCTTTGACCTTTACAAGGTCATGGCAACCAAAATATCAAAAGAGAGCTTTAATTTTTGCAGTTTAATCAGTGGCAAGGATTACGATGGACGTTATGTACCTAAAAGCAAATTGTTGACCCGGGTCATTTCAGGTCAGTGACTTATTCTGACGTTAAGAAGTCGATGAAAGATGTATCATGCGCCCCTTTGATAAAATTATTCAAAATGGGCACCAGAGGCTGCCCCATACAGCAAGCTTTCCAGTAAAACTGCAGATTAGTTTTGACTCCGATCTGATCTTGATACCTGACCGTGGGTCAATGGCATTTGTCACTTAGTTATTGTGTCGTAAGAAACTATCTCAGATATGTACATCCTCAACGTTCCGTAGACATAGCAATCGCTGACAGCCGTGACCTGACTTTGGCCCGCCATAGGCCAACGGCATTACAAGATGCAATAATTTTGTACACCAAGAGGTCCGCTATTGAACTGGCTACAGCATTGCGAAATTTGGCGCGGCCATGCCGCGCCGTTAGGAGATCATTTTGCACAAAATCCTTCGGGGACGGGGGGGGGGGGAGGGGATTGACCTCCTACCCGAGCGCTTTTTAAAAGAACACGTATGCCCTTCATGTGTGCTACAAAAGTGGCCTGTAATAGCTCTACACACCGGTCAATACCGCTTGTCACGTCTAGATAGTCACAGAGCTGGTTGTGCACACCAAATGCGTGGTATACCTGTGCAAAAATGATTCTGTCTCCAAGCACCCAGTGCACAAAACCACCAACCACATTCCATGGAGACCACCATGATGGACGCCATCAACTGAATCGTTAGCAACAGAGATCAGAACACCAAAGCTGCCGGATCACACGTCCTCATCTCCGATAAAATCCTCCCGGTCGTTTCGTTTCAGTCCAAAACTCCCTCCAGACCACGCGGTGCTTCTCAGGGCTGTAGGGATCCCGCTTTTGCAAAACGTTTGCCGCTGTATAAACCACCTCTCAGCGCCTGCAGCCCGAGCGCTGACTGCCACATTAATATGCAAATTACGCAATTATTCACGGCGACACCAAGTTGCGAAAGACGGCTCGAACTGGCGCACCGCTCCCAGGAGGGTGACTGGCGGGGGTGTTGGACGCCGGCAGGCGGTATGGTGCTCTGCACCAGTTCAACTGTGTTCAGCTGCGGTCTGAGTGTTCAAGGTGGGAGCGGAGCATCTCAACATTATTTTCTGGGATGTCCTAACACCGTATCAACGCCGCCGTCTTGTTCCCTTTCTGAACTGGCTTTTGTTTAATTAATGTAAGTGCCTGTTGCTACTAGCGAGCGCGTTAACCTCCTCCCGGACGGGGTCTAAGACAACTGCGCCCGGACGGGGTCTAAGACAACTGCGCCCGGACGGGGTCTAAGATAACTGCGCCCGGACGGGTCTGAGACAACTGCGCCCGGACGGGGTCTGAGACAACTGCGCCCGGACGGGGTCTGAGACAACTGCGCCCGGACGGGGTCTGAGACAACTGCGCCCGGACGGGGCCTGAGACAGCCGCGCCCGGACGGGGTCTGAGACAACTGCCCCCAGATGAGACAAACTGTGCCCGCACGAAGTGAAGCGGGCTTCCCCCCCCCCCCCCCTGGGATCTCCAACTGCGCCTGGACAAGGGGAAGTGGGCTTCCCCCTGGGATCTCCAAATGCAAGACGCCGAGAAAAACAAAAATACTGATGTTAAGATCTCATGAAATCATGAGATTGCACACCACATTGTTGTCCTTAGGACAAATGTGAGGTCACCAGGGGTCACGGCATATCAAAGAAGGCTCGTTCGGATAACTGAACTCTAGCTTGAGTTCTGAAGTGCTGACGGAAGTCTTTATGACCAGAGCAATGCTTTTCTGTGGTCGGAAATAATGTGCTCTACATCTCAAAATCGCAAAGCTTTTGTGTACATTACGCATAGTCCCTTTGACACTTGACAACGTATTCGTAACAATTTGGGAATAAGCGCGTTGGTATGCGAAGCTATACGCTATTCGCTTCACAGAC